ATGTCTGATACGACGTCAGCTCGAGCAAAATCTGGAGTCGGTGTTTGTGATTATTCCCATGATGGCTAGACGAGCGAATATCTCTGTGCAGGAGAGATTGACCACTGTACAGGATACGACAACGGCGAGGCAGCAAATATCATAAGTGTTTGTGATTTTATTTTTTTAATTAACAACTTAGGTTCTAAGTAGACGGTGATGTGCTAATATAATCTTGTTTAATTGTAGAAGTGATTGCGGCATGTTTGTCATCAAGTATATAGAATTTTTGAGTGTAATACATAAAGTTGATACAATCAACCAAGCATGGATACAAAATTGGATAAATAAACTAGCATGTGATTTGTTTGAATTTAATGGAGATCCATAAATAATTGTACATGTTTTTACATTTATTTGAACAATGTACATTTTATTCATTTATTTGTAATTACGAAAAAATTGTAAAATGTTAATTATTTAAATGCTTAATTTAAATATTTTATTATTTATCTAAATATTTACTGTTTACTAATTTAGTTGAACTAATAGTAAAATAATTAAAATAAATAGTTTAATATTAAATAATTAATATAAGAATGTATTTTTGAATAATGTATTGATAGAAAATATTTGGTTCTCTGCCACAAATAAGCAGAAGTGATTTTTTTTTCAATTGTACATATTTTTACGTTTATTTAAACATTGTACATTTCATTAATTTATTTGTAATTACGAAAGAATTGTAAAATGTTGATTATTTATGTAATATTTAATTATTTATTTAACAATTTATGTATTTATTTATAATTTTTGTGTGTATTGTGGAGAATGCAATGTGTTTAAAAAAATTTCGAATACTCCAATTTCAAATAATTAACATAAATAATATGCATAAATAATGTGGGTAACAAATAAAATTAATGAATGAAATGTTTAAATAAAAAACTAAATCTAATAATTAACATAAATAATATGTATAAATAATTAACGTCAATATGATAAATAATTACATTGCCAATAATTATTAACAAATGTAAACTTACACACCTATTACATTGTCATGCAGAGAAATTTGACTTGTATAATATCTTCTAATATGCCCTATTGCACCGCATCTACCGCACTTACGAGGTTGGAGAAATTTTTCGGTAGATGGTATTCTAGATGTACGTGTACGTCCAAGAGTACGTGATCCGACTGCTGGTGGCAACAAGTTATTCAGTGGGAGAATGTAGTCGGGAACTTCCCACTCGACTTCTTTTAGTACAGGAAATATTGTCTCCGCATACACTGCTCTCCAATAATCAGTCATGTAATACGCATTGTATAAAGTACGTGGTGGAAACTCTCTATGAATAACTACTGCCACTGCATGTGTACACGAAAAATCCCCAACTGAAATTGTCTACACGTGCACGTGTTATTGTTCAAGTCCATGATGTATCCGAAATTACATGCACATCTCACGAAGAAGCGAAATTGATCCAGTGGTTCTACATAGACCTTTCTCGTCACATCTAGAGTTTTGAAGAGTTTATCTTCCTAAGCCGGGGTTAGACACTTGCACAACTCTGTGATTCCTCACGTTGATCATGAAACCATTGTTGTACCTTGTCACGAATGTTCTCACTCATTGCGAGAATCGATAACTCTAGAGCTTTCTTGAATAAAGCGTTAAGCGACTCTGCATCGTTCGATGTCATCATGTTGTATCAACGTCCTGAGAAATGTGATTGTACCCAATATTCGATCCCCATCTATGTTAGATACTCCCATGCAGCATGCGATTTACTGTCTATTTCGACCATGAACTTCTCAAACTCTTCAAAACTGTAAGCCTATGTAGCTCACCTAAACAATGTAACGATGCCCTTGCCTTGATACTTGGTCTTCAAGTTTCCCTATATATGGTACATACAATAACCATGATGTGCCGCGGGGAAGATTTCGACGATACCATTTATTATTGATTGCCCTCGATCGGTTATGAATGCAAGGTTTTCGACATCTCCAATTACTTCTCTCAACTTCGTGAAAAATCAACTCATTGCTAGATCATTTTCTCCGTCGACTATGCCTAACGCAAGAAGATAAATTTGGATATTGGCATCTTTACATGTTGCAATAATCAACTTGCCCCCGTATCTCGTCTTAAGGGTTGTGCCGTCGACTAGGATTAGGGATCGCATTGCGTTTCGAAATTCTCGAATCCATTGTCCAAGGGCCATAAAGAAATACTTGAAGCGGTTATCGTCATCCTTCTTAATAAAAAAATATCGATACAATATTAATTCTTCCCATGTTATAGTAATACCTAGCCAATGTAAATAAAAAATAATCATAATTTAGATAATCTATTCAATATGAAATGAACAGAAAAATAAATAATTCAATTAAATAATTAATTACATATTAAATAAACAATTGAATTACATAATTATATCAACGATTGAAATAAACTAATTAACAATTAAAATAACAAAGAAATAAACACCTGAACAATGAAATACCTGGCCAATTTAGTATAACTCTCCTCGGTCGAACCCATCAATGTAACGATCCTGGGGGACGCGAAAAAAAGTCGTGACAGGTAAGTGGGCGCATGGCCCACCCAAAGCGGACAATACGTAAGATAACAATTTGGACGAAAGGTCCGGGTCGTTACAAGCCCGATTGGTACTAGGATTCAACTTAAATCTCTCTTAGGTAAAGGTTAAGAGTTCGAATCTTGGGGGACGCGAAAAAAAGCCGCGAGGGGTAAGTGGGCGCAAGGCCCACCCAAAGTGGACAGTACGTAGGATAACGGCTTGGACGAGAGGTCCGGGTCGTTACAAAAAAACACTCATGTTTTTTAACGACTTGGATCTCTCGCCCAAGCCGTTAGCATACGTACTGTCCGCTTTGGGTGGGCCTTGCGCCCACTTATCTCTCACGACTTTTCTTCGCGTCCCCTAGGATTCGAACTCTTGACCTCTACATAAGA